AAAAAAAAAAAAAAAAAAAAAGCGGGAATTTTGAATTGCATCTGGATATCTTCGTATGCCCTGATGTATGGGTTATATTCCCAAAAAAATTACATAGCATTCACTACCACTAGTTAGTTAGTTGACCCAGGACGTTGAATGCAGGAATGCTCTACCTTGGAGGTAAATTCCCAGCCCTCTCCATTTTTTTATTTTGAGACATGATCTCACTGCCTGGCCTTTAACCTGCAGGTCTGCCTCAGCTTCCTGAGTGGCTAGGACATGTGCCACTTCACGTGGTTTGTTTATGACTTGCTTCCTTCCTAGTATGTAATTGCTATGAAAGAAGCAGCTGGCTTTCTCTTCTCCTTCCTCTCTCCACCGTCCCTCTCTTCCTCCTTCCTTCCCTCCCTCCCTCCTTTCTTCCTTCTGAGCGCCCCATGCCCCCAGTTTCTATCCACTGCCCCATCCCTTGTGCCTGGGATGTATGTAGACTTAGTCTGTTGGGTTTTTGTAACTCATAAGCGAATTGTCCAAACTCCTGGTAGCGCTGAATCTCTGGATCTGCTATGTTACAGTTCCTCTGAAATTTGAGCCTCAGCCACATGGGGCTGAGCTTAGAGCTGTCCTGGGACTCAGAGAGATGGCCTGTAAATCCCCCTGAAGGGACCCCATGGCTTAAAGGGAAGGGAGAAGGGGCTCTGTTGCCTCCCCTGCCTGGGCGTGGGCTCCCTGTCTTCCTATGGGGTTTTGTATCTTTGGTGTTTGGGGACATGGGCTGCCTTCATATTTCCTATTGAGTTTGTGTGAACTTCTAAAATATTTTTTTCAGGGAAGCGTCTCATCAGTGGAGGACAGAGCATGGGACCAGAGGGAGTGGGGCCCTGCTGATTGGAAGGACAGGCCCGCGGGCCACCCTCACCAGAAGCACAGGTCTGCGGGGCTCCCAGGCTGCTTCCCAGCACCCCCGGGGCATGGCGTCCGCCTGGCCAAGGCTGCGCTTCTGTACTTCACTTCTCACAAGGCGGCTGCGTGGTGGCCTGGATGTCACCGCGTGGGAACAAAAAGTGATTCCAAGATGGACCAGGACAATTTACAGCGCCACCGGCAAGTGGACGAAGGAGTACACAGTGCAGACGAGAAAGGCGGTGGAGAAATGGTGGCATCAGCGGATAAAGGGACAGGATTCCACAATTTTAGAGACAGATGTGAGTATTAGGAGAGATTTCCAGTGGGAGGAAGAGTGGGGCTGGGGCACGGACTCTGGTCGGAAGAGTCCTGTGAGTCAGGAGGGGCGTGACTCCAAATCCAGTTATTGAGTGTCTGTGCTTCAGTTTGAGACAGGGTCTCCCTGCATAGTTCAGACTGGCCTTGAACCCATTGTGTGGCCCAGGCGGACGCTGAACTTGTGATGATCCTCCTGCCTCAGCGTAGGACTTCAGGTGTGTGCCAGCACGGCCAGCGTTGTGCTTTGGTTTTCTCCCCTAACCCAGGGTGATGCTGTTGGTGCCTGTGGGGGCAGGGGCGGCTGATAGCAGCTCACCAGGCCTTCCTGAGCAGCATTCATTGGAGGAGAGGTTTCACAACAGGGGCACTGGCAGGTGCAGAGCCCTTTGAGGTCTGTTGCAGCTGGGGCAGCAGGCGGAGCCAGCAGGTCCAGAGTGACCTCCAGGATGGCCATCAGCCTGGCCAGAGCCCTGTTCTGCCACTTTAGCGCGCTGGCTGGGGGAGGTCTCAGCCTTTGCACTGGTTTGACCAGGGCTTGGGGCCCCCCACAGTAGCAGCACAATGCATCCCAGTGTTCTTACTGCTGGCCCGTTTGAGCTGTGCTGAGTGGTCTGCTGTAGCTGGTTTCCATGGTTTCTGGCCTTCTCTGGGATGATCCTCACACATGCACATCCTGACTTTCTGATACTGGTTGCAGTGACAAATGGGAGGTGCAGTTTGTTACAGGAAAGGTTGGAGTGGGGTTAGGGCAACACACTCACTAGAAGGTTGACTCTTCGCGGCCCCTCTGTGGCAGTAACTGGTTAGGAGGGGAATCTGCAGTTGGGAGTCTGTGGAGGAAGCTGAGAGGTGGACAAGGAGCATTTGTGTGCAGAGTGTAATTTTACTTTAAAAGCTTGGCTTTTATCTGATTACAAGTAAAAAGCTGCCGTGTCACCATGACCAGAATAACACAAGTAAGAGTGCTTTGGAAATAGGCTCTCGGGAGGGGCTTAATTCTGAGTGGGCCAGTAAACTTCGCTTTGTTGTTTTTGCCCCTCGTTCAGTTTAGATTGTTATTCAGGCTTCCAAGCAATTTGAAGCTGTAGCTATGAATTTTGTGACATCTTGTTCACCTTGAGCGTAGTTTTTAAGAATTAGGGAGTGGAGGGAGGTGACCATTTCAGCACCGGCAGGATGGCCATTGATAATGGGCATCCCTTGCAGGCCCCCAGCCGGCTGGGGTGGGGAAGAGCCAAGCAGATGGTGCTCTGGGAGGACTAAGCCTGGCCTGTGACCTCGCGGTGGCCCCAAGCCCACGAGCTCCAGGACATTTACGGGCCTGGGTGCCCAGGCTCCCAGTATTGTTTCTCTTGCAGACTTGTTTTGAAATCAAATGAGAAAATGTGATGGAGTGTATTTCCTAAGCTGAAGTGTTATATAAATAAAAGAGGGAAACAGATGGAAATATGTAGCGCCTCTCTCAGGGACGAGAGCCTGTCCGAGCTCCGAAGCGTGTGTGCTGGAGCTCGCTAGTATGAGGGAGCTTCGTGTCCACTCAAGTGAGGCACTGTTTTATTTTTTCCAAATGAGTTTTTACAAGTCAGATGTCTTGGCATTGTCAACACACACGCACACACACGCGCGCGTGCACACACACACACATGCGCACACGCACACCCCCTCCGGCTGGACCACAGGCTTGGCGAGCACTCTGCTGCCGCTCTCTTGCTGAGCTCTGTCCTCAGCCCTGTTACAGTCTTCATTCTGAGTCTTGCTAAGTTTCCCAGGCTGGCTCGAGCTCACGATCCTCTAGCGTCTGCCTCTTGATTAACTGCAGTCAGGCATGTGCCACCACCGCATCTCACCATTATCACAAAGACTTTCATTTTGTTTGTTTTTTTCTTTTTTGGGGGGGGGGGGGGTGGAACTGGAGATTGAATTCAGGCCTTTGTGCTTGCCAGGCAAACACGTATGCTACTGAGCTATTTCCCCAGCCCCAAGACTTCCATTTAAGGAGCATTTTAATCCAGTTATTTCCGGCAGCAGGTAGCACCCAGGTTATGGACCAGTGAGAGTGCACACAGGTACCCTGCACTGTCTCTAGGCCCTTGGGTGGTCAGGAAGAACCCCAAGGGGGACCTGCCTACCCTCTAGGCCCTTGCTGGCTAGGTGGGGACTCTGTTGCCCAGAGAGGTCCTTGTGGCTTTGGGAGGCGGGAGTCCCTCCCACATGTCCACCCTGTAGGCCACTGCTGGCTAATACCGGGTCTCCACCCCCTCCCTAGTGTCCTCTAGGGTCAGGCAGGCCAGGGGTCCTGGCACAGTAGGGGCTGAACTTGTAAGACCCAGGTAACCATAGCCCCACTTACCAGTGTCATGGCTGGTCAGTGACCTTTGTTGGTGTCCACAGCTGGTGACCATGAATACAGATGCCCCTGGGGCCAGTTTTGTTTGGAGGAAGACAGTTAACCCAATGGCAGTGGAGCCAGGAGCCTTCTTGGCCTGGCTTTTGGCTAACATTGCATACTGCCCACAAGGCCCAGGAATTTGCCCACGGCCCCTGCTAGTGGCAAGAACTGTGTCGGTGCAGGGGTCCTGCGTGGCCTGCGTGGCAATGGCCCTGAGCGCTGCACTTCTGGTGTTAGCCAACGCCTTGGGATGTGACCCAGAAAGAGGCAGAGGTCGAGACTGTGTCCTGAAGAGGACGGATGATAGGACCCGCTTAGAAAAGCCGTCCTCTTCCCATCACTGACGATCTTAATTTGCCTTAAAGACTTGAAGTCTTACACTTTTATGTAATTATGACATTCTCTCTTTTGGTCAGATTCCTGCACAATTATAACATAAAGTCCCATATTTCTTCTCTCCTCTCCACCCCCACATGATGGAACTCATTTCATTGTCACAGAGGAAAGTGACTTAATTCACACAGAAAATTAAAAGGCAGAAGCAGGCTGTCAGCTGAATACATTTTCTGCAATAAACAAAAATGTTCATGAATATTAAAGACTTTTGCTAGCAGTACTTTTCTGTGTCTCTTTTATAAGACCAGGTTTGGGGTTGGGCTTAGGTAATATAGAATAAATCATTTGATTTTGCTATTTAGTCTTCACTGAACAAACATAAAAAGGAGACGGGAGGAATCTGTAATTTGGAAAATGTTTGGGGCAAGATTGCTGAATAGAGTATAGTAAAATAAATGTTAGTATAACAGAATAAGGTGATTATAAGAAAAGAAAAATATTTCCTGTATAAACTTGAAAATGAAATGCTGGAAATAATGCATGACAAAGATTTTACTATTTGTAACCAAAGAACTCTCACAAGTTGTTTTCCTATATCCCTAAAAGTTCCCTAAGAGCAAGCAATGGTCCCGATCCATCACAGGAAGGGGAAGGGCACTGATACCGTGGATGGTTTTAATTTTAGTTCTTCACTCAGTGAAAGATTGAGCTCTTGCACCTGCCTTTTGGGCCTGCTCACACACAGAGAAGACTTCCTGTCCTGCTGTCCTCCTGTCTTGGCGGGCACATTTTGTATTTCTTTTTGGTGCTGGGCATGGAGCTACACCTGTGGCCTGGCCTCCCTCGGACGTCCCCACAGACTTCTGCATCTCAGGGCCTCTGCCACACCCAGAGGTTTTCCTAGGAGGTTTTTGTTTTTTTTAAATTTTAATTTTATTGAGAAACAGATATGAATGAGACAGTTTCAAAGCTGATTAATAGGACAATTTTGATAATCAATACATTGTACATTATTATCTTCTAGTAGTTATCCATAGTACAAGAAGCAGACAGGATATCCTGTCCAAACACTATTGGTACAAATCTTTCTTCTCATTGAATTAAGCAAAAGTAGCTGTATATCTATCCTGTTTTGTGTATATAAATACAAACTGATCTTTCCTTTGTATCCCCTTTTTTTGTTTAGTCCTATCAGAGGTGGATATTCTATTGGCATCTAAATACTATAAGTGTTTGAATTCAGCTAACCAATCCAACTCAGTCTAGCAGTCTATAATATTAGTGGGTTATCCTCAGAAGTTATTGACTTGAGCCTTTTACAGCTCATCGTATTAATATGGATTTACTTTACATACCTTGTTTTTATACTTTTCTGCTGGATGGTTAAGACCAAGATATAAAGCAAGACCTATATAATAAGAAATGTAACTTTTGTATCTGACAAGGTCAATCAAGTCCCCTCAGAATTTATCCTATAGCCCTGTATTGCACTTTGTAGGTCCTTTGTCAGTGTCCGCCATGAGGATGAGTCATGGCCATTGCTTGACCAATTTGCTCTCTGTGAAAGCCTGAGAGAATGTTTTTTCTCTCTATGTGACTCTCTCCAGGCACACTGTACATCACCAGTCACATTCCTCTGTGGCTCCATAATCTCCTTGATCAGAAAATTTGGGGCACAACTGAGTTACATGATGTTACGTTACAGGTTCTCCTATGTCCCGAGTCTTTACAGACCTTAAAAGGCTAGGGCCAAAATGTTGGCTGACCTTGAAGCCCTTCCTTTTCTCCAATTTTGATTTGCTAATGTAGGTTGTTAACCCTCCGGAAGAGAAACTTATTATTAACCTGCAATATATGTAGTTCGGTTTACCCTGTCTGTCTAAATATCAAACCTCTTTGGCATATCATGGAACAGGTATTTTCCATCAAATATTGATATGTTGAACTTTAAGTCCTTACAGAATATGAAGGAAAAAAAGTTTTAAAAACTAGAAATAAGCATTTACATATTTTTACAAAGAAACTTAGAAATCTAACCATATACAGAATTGTAACAGGGCAGACCTGCGACTTTTTTGTGTGTGTGTGTCCTTTTTTTTTTTTTTTTTTTCTTCCTAGGACTTTTGAATGCATAATTTCTAAGTAAAGGACACGAACATGGCCCGCCTGTCTCCCTGAGGACGTGAATCCCGGCAGTTGTCAGCTCCTTGGCCTCAGGGATGCTGTAAGGCTGTGCTGCCTCCAGATCTTCTTTGTCCCTCTCTCTCCTCCCCTCCCGAAGTGTTACTAACCTTGGCCATTTCCGCAAGATGGACAATATAGAGAAAAGTCCAACTTTAGATATTTTTTGTACCACTTGCTAAGTGGATCTGCTAAAGGTTTGTTCAACACCTTTGCTGAGAGAAGCTTTGAGATTTGGCAGGAATCTGTCTTTTTGTTCCTTCTTCCTTGATTGCACTTGGCTCTGCCCATTATCAGTCTTGAAAACGTCTCACACATACCCAGGAAGTGCTCTGAATCTACACTAGCATTTGTTCTTGTGACTTTGAGAGAAACAAAACCTTCCTGAAGTCCCCTAAAGCCCCAGAAAGGGACAATTTCGATAATCAATACATTAGACAGAGCAGCAGGATGGAGGGCAGGACTAAGTCACAGTGCCAACCACAACTGGCCCCACTGTCAGTGACCAACAGCAACCATTCTCTGCTGCCCTTCTTCCAAAGGACCTCTGTGCGTGCACACACACACACACACACACACACACACACACACACCCTGTGCATGGAACAACCCCCCAGTTACCCAGACAGGATTTGTGAACTTGGCTAGGCAAAGTGCTCTTTGTTAAAAAGCGCTCCCACAAGGGCCAACCAAGTTATCCTACAGCTACTAAACTCCTGTTGGCAGGGTGGGGGAGATGGAGAAAGACGATTAAGGCCCAGTCCTTGGAGTTAGGAGGAGAGCTCAGAGTCAGGCCCTTGCTCAGCATGCCTGAGGCCCTACGTTCAATTGCCAGTGCTGCAAACAACCTAACTGTAGTCCCCAGCATGAACAGTAGGTCCTCTGTGAGGAGTCAGCTCAGCAACTTGCCTCTGGAGCCTTACCCATCCCATGCACAAGCTCTTGAGGACGTTCACTGTTCTGCCTGGGGTGGCGTGAAGGGGACAAAAGCCAGTGACCAGCATGGACTTCCTGCCCCATCGCCATCTGCTGGGACACGCTACAGCTCTGAGGTGCCGCTTTGCAGCTCCGATCTGTATTTGCCCATTTGTCGCCCTGGGAGACAACCACTTCTTTACTTTGTTAAGACTTTCTTGGCATTGCCTCCTCGGTTTTATAAGCTCACAATACAGTGAGGAACGCAGGGCCAGTCAGGTACGGTGGGGTCCTGCTCTTCCTGTGGGGTCTCAGTCTGAACACAGCTGTAGGGAGCTTAGGAAGAGGCCTGTCACTGGCGATGTCGTAGCTGGATAATTCAGCTGTCGCTTCCTTGAAGTATATGGATGTATGTGTTTGAGCTTCACTTGGAAAGAGTTCTTTAAGGCCTCGATAGACACTGTCTTAAAAGAGAAGCATTTTAAAGGGAAAAATCATTACTGATAAACATGGGTAACTCAGAGATTGTTTGGCAACTTTTAAAATGTTTATTTTATTATTACCGTGAGTAAAGTACCAAGTATCAGTGCACACAGAGTTCCTAGAACACATTGGTGAAGACCCACTCTTGTTCCTTCCTAGAAATCAAAGCCCAAGTTTTACCTGCTTTCCATGTTCCCCTACCCTTCGGGCAAGCTGCACATGGGCCACGTGCGTGTCTACACCATCAGTGACACCATCGCCCGGTTCCAGAAGATGAGAGGGATGCAGGTAAGGAAGGTGCTGCTGCCTGCCTGGGGCAGGACTGCCACCACGTGTGGAGGACAGAGGAAAAAGCCAGCTTCAGTCCTGTTGAGATGACTGAGGATGAGTACGATGTTGGGAAGACGCTCGAGTGAAGCGCCTGGATCAGTGGGGGTCCCCACTGTCGGGAGTTAACCAGAATGGGCGGGGTGGGGGAAGGCAAGTACAAGTGGGGGTGATACTCATTTCTTCCGGGGGGAGCTCACCCAGGAAGGAGTACAGGCCTCATGCAGGGCACAAAGCCCAAGTTCGGGGCTGGTTCACTGCCCATTGCCATTACACGTGTCTGAGACAACCAGCTTACAGATGGGAGGGGCAATTTGGATCATGATTTCAGAGCTTCCAGTCCATGGTTAGGGGGAGCCCTGCTCTCAGGCTTCTGTTGGGGCTCCAGATGGTTCCAGATGGCAATGGTGGGGAGCACGTAGGGATACAGTTGCTCACCTTAGGCCAAGGAGGGAAGGGAGGGGGCCAAGGTCCTGCTGTTCCCTTCAGGGCTGGAGACCTGAAGACCTCCTGGACAGCCCCCTCTTAAACTTTCCACCACTGAGACAAGCCTGTAATTATAGGTGACATTTAAGATCCAAGCTGTAGGAACGAGGATACAGCTCAGCGGCACTGCAAGGTCCTGACTCTGATTCCTGAGGCGGGTCTAAGCTGTAGAGTGCTGGTGAGCGGCAGCTGGGGCCACAGGAGACTGACCCTTTTCTTTTTAAATGTGTTTAGTACAGGGTCTGCAGAGTCTCACTACACAGATTGGATTCATAGTGATCCTCCTGTTTTCAGCCTCCCAAGTCATCACCTCAGCGTGCCCCAGGGCTGTGGTTCGGCATGGCACGCTGGGGATCAAACCCTGGTTCCTGCCCCTGCCTAAGCAGGCTCTTTAGTCCACTGATCTATCTGGCAGGCCCTAAGACTGATCCTTTCTATTGGGTGTTTTTGATAGTCTCTAATGGGAAAATTAAATTTATAAGAAAAACTGTTTTGGAGGTAATAATGCTGGGGTGCTAGGAAAGGCTTCACCAAAGAGGAAATTTGTGATAGGGTGACACCTGGGCTGGGGAAAGAGTCCCTTCCTTGGCTGTCCTGGGTCAGTCTGTCCATCCCACTGCCCACCACTTAAGCCAGCTCCTTGCTCAGTAGTAACACGTGCTCTAAGAACAGGTAGAAATAGCCCTTGTACCGTCCTTGTGCGCCTGTAGGGAGAGGTGAGACCAAAGTGGGGTCAGACAGACAGACAGACAGACAGACAGACAGACAGATAGCCCTCGGTGCTCAGTGGCAGTGTGGCCTTTGACTGTTCAGCCAGTCTGTTTAAGACCTCGCCTCTTCCCATGGCTGATGGGAGGAGAGACAGTACCTGTCCATTGCCCACAGGCGTTTGGAGGGAGACCAGGCAGCATACGTGTGTAACCAGTGAAGGCTGGTGGCTGCCTGCCGTGGCCGGGTCTCTGCTGATGCCTGCTCGTGGGTGCCGACTGTGTATATCATGGTGCAGCTTTATTAGTCATCTTAGTAGCTTGAAATCCACTATGGGGGGGGATGCTTGCACCATGGCAGTCGGCAGACTTACACACAGGGCTGTGTGTCCTGCCCAGCGGCGGCCGTTAGGCACACACTGGCACTCTGCTGGCCATAGCTGTTGTTGACCTGTCGGGCCATGCCAATGACTGCTGCCACTTTCTGCCTTTTTAAAAATTTATTTATTTATTTATTGTTTACATGTCTTTATTTCCAATACTAGGGATTAAACCCAGGGCCTTCGCACTGAGCTACATTCCCAGCCTTTTTTAATTTTTGGGACAGGGTCTCTAATTGCCTAGCCTGAGCTCTGGTTCAGGACACTCCTCAGGGGTAGCGGGATTGCAGGCACATGTCACCATGCCTGCCTCCAATTCTTGATAAAGAATTTTTTTCAGAAAGATGAGTACATCTTATATCATAAATGGTTGGAAACGTTTACTGCACTGATACTGGCAGCAAAAGCATTCTTCGGAAGGTTTTGTTGTCTCTGTCACCTGAAAAGTTAATACATTCCTGAGCCAAACACAAAGACTGGCATTGGACTCCGAGGCCGGAGGTGCATATGGCCTTGCTTTGTGTCACGTGGCCTTTGCATCAGACACTGATTTTTGTTATTTCTGCTGTGTTTATCAGAAAGGGGCTCAACTGGACGGATTGGCTCTTTGTCTAAATTAGAATTTTTTTTTCTTGTCCCTTTTTTTTGGTGGCAGTGTGGGGGTTGTACAAAGGACCTTTCACATGCCAGGAAGGGCTCTGTCCCTGAGCTGCAGCTAGGTCCTTAGCTGACCATGAATCTTCAACTAGATTTATGTTTGCTTTCTTTTATTTGAATCAGTCAGTGAGTGTAGGCAGATTGTGGAAGATGAAGCACTTATGGCAGGAACTACAGATCAGGCACGAGTGGGGAGCTGGGTGTAATGGACTCGGATTCTCTTGTCATTGGTCAGGATGAGATGTTCCTGAGGAAGCTTGTGACGCAGTCCCAGGGGACCTGAGGACTGGGCCCTTGCAGGTGGCCAGGGCTGAGAGACCCAGAGCGCCTTCCCACCTCGACTGAAGCCCAACGGCAGTTGGAGCCACGAATTAGATGCCCTTGATTTGAGCCCTGTTGTACCACCTTCTAGTTCACTTAGTGGCTCTGCATCCCAAGGATGGGCTGGGGGTATAGCTCAGTGATGGAGCTCTCACATGGGGGGGAAAGGGGGTAAGGGAGGGAGGGATGCCAGTTATTTGTCCCTCCAGGTGTTGTGGCAAGGGTTGAGACCAAAGAATCCCTTACCAAGGGTAGCTGTAATTTTTATGTATCCTGATGGGATTTCCCCATGTGGCTCAGGAAAGTGTTTCAGTGCTGTCTGATGAGCAGATCCGTCGAGCCTCCACAGAGCCCTTGGGGAGTGGTAGCCACTGCCCACCCTCCACTGCTGTGTCTTTGGAAGTTAACAGTGTCTCAGTCCCAGGGACTGCAGACCGTGGGGCTGTCACTTGCTCTGTTCAGGATGGCAAGCTGGGTTTCAGGGATGTCCTTGAGATGACCTTGAGCTGCCAGTCTCACTGATGCTCCGAGTTCATGTGAGTCATATTCCATGTAGACCCAGCAAACTACCACATCCAGCTGCTAGAGGTGGCAGGGGAAGGAGAGGGGAATCTCGGCCCACGTGCCAGAGGTGTGGGAGCTCCTAGCACTTGCGAGCCCAGCTGGGGACAGCAGTCACCCACTGAGTGGCCTGCACCTGGGCCCTCTTGCCCTGGCCGGTGGGTCCTGTGGGGGCTGGCCTTGTTCCTGAGCGCAGACCCCAAGGTGCTTCTCAGGCCACAGCTGTCCTCTCAGTCCGCCTCAGCCACGGGCAGCGCCGTGCCGCCTTCCCTCCGGAAGGCGCTCTGCTCTGTGTACCAGATCCTTGCATCTTGGCTTCTTCTTTCCTATTTCCTGCACAGCTTCTTCTCTCCACGCCATCTCTGCATGCGTGTGCGTGTGCGTGTGCGTGCGTGCGTGCGTGCGTGTGTGTGTGTGTGCATGTGCACAAGATACGTGCACCCGAGACAGTCTTGCTTTGTAACTCAGGCTGGCCTTGCACTCATGTCTCCCAGACTGGCTTCAAACGCACAGTGATCCTCCTGCCTCAGCCTCTGGAGCACTGGGATGACAGGTGTGTGCCCCCGTGCCCTGCCATTTTTGCATACTCTTTATCCACAAGTCTCTGCAAGTTTGGGGATTGCGGTTATTCTGGTTTCCTACAACAAGCTAAGAGGCTTTCTCTGTCGGTTTCCACAGGTCTCAATACTATTTAAAATATAAGCCTATGAACATGGAAAATACCAAAGTGAAAGAAATACCATTTATTTGCCTACCTGGACTTGATTTTTATCCTAAGTATATTTTTGTTTATTCAGCCTTAAAGCTAGAGATTTTGGAATCATTTTTCACAGATCTTTCTTGACCCAAGTCTGTCTGTCTGTCTATCATCTATATCCATCTGTCTTATCATCTCTCATCATCTATATGTCTGTCTATTTATCTGTCTGTCTGTCTTATCTATCTATCTATCTATCCTCTGTCCTGTTGCAAAAGTTCTTCCTTATTCCTGGCTTGCTAAGAATTTTTATCATGATTGGATACTTTTATTTTGTCCAATGTCTTTTTTTCCACCTAGAATCTGATAATGTGGTATATTATGTTGGTTTTTTAGCTATGAAATTTTCATTCCTGGGGCAAATTCCATTTTTTTCATGATTAAAAAATGTATAAATCTCTATTCAATTTGTCAGCCCTGCGTGCCTAAGAGTGCTGATGTGTCACCTCATTTTCTTGTAGTACCCTAACCTGGTTTAGGGATTAGGGTTATTCTGGCTGCCTACAACAAGCTAAGAGGTGTTCTCTTCGGTTTTCTGAAAGCATTATGTTTTGTTGTTACTATTTCTTTCTTACGTGTTTGATAGTACTCACCAGCAATGGTTTCAGGGCCCATAGTTCTCTTTGGCTGGAGTTTTAAAATTACAGATCCTATTTCCCTCATGAATACCAGGCTGTGTCCTGCATTTCCTTCTGTGTTTGTCTGTCTGCAGCGCTGGGGATTGTACCAATGGCCTTTGCCCCCCCTCCTTCATTTTTTATTCTGAGACAAGGTCTAAATGTCTGTTTCCCGGGCTGAGCTCAAACTTGCAATCCTCCTGCCTCAGCCTCCCACAATGCCGCACTGCAGCGTGTGCCGCCACCCCCAGCTTCTGTGTTCATTGAAGGTGTTTTTTTCAAGAAATCTGTTCACTGTACCTCTAATTCTGTTCTGGACTGTCTCACCTTTTGTTTCCCCACTTTCCCTATCTAGTCTCATCTTCCTCCCCCCTATGGTTTGGGTCTAGATGTGCCCCCAAAGCTTCACGCAGTCATCGGGTGAGTGTTACACCCACCTGGGGCTAGCCTGAATGCAGCATAAGCGAGGGAGCGG